CAGAACAGGAAACTACATCTTTTATTTCAGGTATGCAGATAAGTTAAGTTTGATATAAATTAAAAACGCCACCGACGTGTGAATGATAATAATATTATAAAGTTACAATCTGTTATTTTGTTTTAGATATTAACATTGCGACGGAAACCAATGATGAAGACACACCGATAAGAACACAAACTGAAGAGACAAACGAAGAACGTACTAAAAAGAAAAAAAAGGGAAGATCAAGAAAGGAGAAAGAAGAATCTAAGAGACTAAGAAATTCTGGTAAAAGCTATGTTACTGAAAAAGGAAAAATAAAAGATGAGAGGCAATTGCGTTCACTAAGCACTTGTAGATTAAAATGTTTGGAACGATTTTCTGAAATAGAAAGAAAGCAATGTTTTGACGCATATTGGGGTTTAGGAAGTAGAGATCGAAGATCAATGCATATAGCTGGTCTTGTTACGATATTACCAAAGAAATCACAGAAGACTGATAGCAGAATAGTTAACAGAGATTATTTTTGCAAATATAAACTTTTTATAAATAATGAAGAGAGGCCAATTTGTAAAGAATATTTGTGTAGAACACTTGGGGAAACTAGAGGATTTGTTAATATAGTTATTGAAAAGAAAAAAAACTCTCCAAGTGGTGTCATTCCTACTGATCAAAGGGGTTGTCAAGCACCTACGACAAAAAAAACTATAGATGATACTACTACAGCCATAAACCATATACTTTTATTCCCAAATTACGAGAGTCATTACTGCAGAAAAAGAACAAATCGAAAATACTTATCTTCAGACCTGTCTATTGCAGCTATGTATCGTTTGTACAAAGAAAGTTGCACAAACCCTGTATCATTAAAGTTGTACTCTAAATGTTTTCACGATTTAAATTTATCTTTTAAACAACCGGCAAAAGATACGTGTCATACATGTGATTTGCTGAATACGAAGATCTCGTTAGCTAAAGGACAGGAAAACCTCGATTTAAAACTTGAACTTGCTGAACATCAAAGATTAGCTGAAAAAGCTTATGCCGAAAAAAGGAAGGATAAAGAAGATGCGAAACGCGATTCGTCAATTGGAGTCTACACATTCGATCTACAACAATGCTTGCCAACTCCAAACCTCAAAACTTCAGTCTCTTTTTATAAGAGGCAGTTATGGTCCTTTAATCTCACAATACATAATTTAGCTGATGATAAAGCTACTTGTTATATGTGGGACGAAACGACTGGTGCACGTGGTGCCAATCAAATCGCATCTTGCTTGTGGCATATGCTTCAGAATTTGCCTCCAAATATAAAAGAGGTCACATTTTATTCAGATACATGTGGGGGTCAGAATAAAAATAACATAGTTGCTATGATGTTCATGTTCCTATTGCATCAACATCCGACGTTAGAAATAATTAACCACAAGTTTCTTATCAGCGGACACAGCCATATGGAATGTGATTCGGATCATGCTATCATTGAAAGGACGAAAAAAAAGACTCAACTTAAAATTAATCACCTGAATGACTGGATGCAGCTGGTGAGGTCTTCTAAAATAAAAAACCCATTCCATGTGATACCAATGCAATTGAAACAATTTCTCAAGTTCTCAGATTTGAGTTCTAAAAAAGGCCCGTTCCTGATAAAAAAAGGGATGTTTCAGGTAATAAATTTTAATGGCAACCTGTAAAGTGGCTGCAATTTAGAAAACCCAGTGGAGATATCTATTTCAAGACAGATCTCGACAGGGAGAGCCGTTTTAACGTTATCAACTTTAGGAGGAGAGGCAAATTATGCAATTTAGATAACGTACAGTTAGAAGCAGTATCCAAAGAACCATTGCCAATAAGCAAGGAAAAAAAGAAGGATTTGATGGATTTATTACCACTAATAGATCCAGTATTTCATGATTTTTTTAAAAACATAAAGACGGACTCGGAAACTCAGAATGTCGACCCTGATATTGATATAGATGACCCTGATGCAGAAGAAAACATGGAAGACTAAACATAAGATTATAAATCTTAATATCTATTGGTGACACAAGTTAATGCTGATTCATTGAGTCACTTTTAATTTTATTATAATTAAAATTTATGCACACAACGTATGCCATAAGAAAAACAACGCAATTTTGTTAATTTCCTTTATTTTTGATAAAAAAAATGTTTTATAATAATAAAAGTTATATTATTTTTATATTCTATTGGTGACACAAGCTAATGCTGATGCATTGAGTCACTTTTAATTTCATTATAATTAAAATTTATGCACACAACGTATGTCATAAGAAAAAACAACGCAATTTTGTTAATGTCCTTTATTTTTGATAAAAAAATGTTTTATAATAATAAAAGTTATATTCTTTTTATATCTATTAGTGACACAAGCTAATGATGATTCATTGAGTCACTTTTAATTTTATTATAATTAAAATTTATGCACACAACGTATGCCATAAGAAAAACAACGCAATTTTGTTAATTTCCTTTATTTTTGATAAAAAAAAATTTTTATAATAATAAAAGTTATATTATTTTTATATTCTATTGGTGACACAAGCTAATGCTGATGCATTGAGTCACTTTTAATTTCATTATAATTAAAATTTATGCACACAACGTATGTCATAAGAAAAAACAACGCAATTTTGTTAATGTCCTTTATTTTTGATAAAAAAATGTTTTATAATAATAAAAGTTATATTCTTTTTATATCTATTAGTGACACAAGCTAATGATGATTTATTAGGTCACTTTTAATTTCATTTTAATTAAAACTTATGCATACAACGTATGTAAAATGAAAAAACAACGTAATTTTGTTAATTTCCTTTATTTTTGATAGAAATTCATTGTATAATAATAAAAATATATTATTTTTTCATATTTTGTTTTATTTACATATACTTTATTTAAAATAATTAACATAAACACAACTATTAGACCTTAAATATCTGTTTTTCTTGGGTCAATAACTTGACAAGTCGTCGGTACACAACTTGACAAGTCTTTTTTTTAATAGATTAAGAAGATAATTTAATCAAATTCTTACGCCAATCGAAAGATACGCATCAAATTAGCTTATTTCAATCATAAAAATATCAATTATCATTAATTAGGATTTACCAGAGAACTCTAAACTTTAAAATCGCTCCCCTGAAAAGTACGCAAAAATGACATGTCAAGTTATTCCCGCGCGGTACGGATTTGTAACTATAATATTTAAAGAATTATCCTCCAACTCCTAAGCATTAAGGAGTTGTACCTACCATGACCAGTTCATCATGATGAGATGATGAATATCTGATGTAAACACTTGAATAACTTTAGAAACTATACTTATCTATAAAATTAAAAGAATTATCTTCCAACTCCTAAGCATTAAGGAGTTTTACCTTCTATCATCAGCTCATCAATATGAGATGATGATTTCCAGGAGCAAATACTTGAATAACTTAAGAAAAAGTTTGAAAAACGATATACGTGCCTATAAAATTTGAGGGTTGCCCTCGATTTCCCTAGGATCCCATCATCAGATCCTAACTTGGTGACAATGGGACCACCTCAGAAGTGTACCCTATCGAACAAAAATAACACTGGTCAACAAAAAAAATAAAATTGTTTGTTTCCTGTGATTTTTTTTCAGTTTCTATCTCAAATTGACGCATATTTTTTAAATAAGGCAACAGTTTTTCTCTAACAGCTCTTGTTTTTAAGTTATAGCTGTCTACCTTCATTTAATATTTTTACTTAGATTTTTGATTTAATTGGACAAAAAAATATATTATGTTGGTGTTTTCGATATTGCTTCGTTATGAAGATGTTGTGTGCTTAATCCAGATTGCTTCTGCTATGTTTGTGGTAAATATAATATTTGAAAAATGTCGAAAACCTCTATCGGATTTCATGAAAACTGCGTAACATCGACACTTTAAAATAAATATTTGAAATTAATTAATCAAGACCACAAATGGGTTATTTGTGTTCTGAGAATAGGTAACTTACTTTAGGCCAACAAGGGGGCTACACAAAATTTTTTTTTAACGGATTGAGAATTGTAATTAACAGCACAAGTAACAAATAATACAATTAGAATAAAGTAGCAGTAGAAGAAGTATAAGTAGCATTGTTTTTAATACAGGAAATAAAAAATATCGGAAATAGTTATCAGAGAAATAATGATAAAATTACAAAATTTTAAGACCAATCCTTCACTAACCAAATGTCACATTATCAATAAGGTTTTGCATTATTTTATCTCTACATTACAATAATAATTTGATTTGATCTTTTCCTAACTTGTATATTATTTATCTATAAAATGGGTTTTATTAAACAATAACAAACTAAATTTGTACAGGTAATTTACAAACTTAAAAACTATACTATATTTAGGCTAATTTATAATAATAATTGCAGAACACTTGTCTTATGCTAATATCTTTATTTTTGAGTAATCGCTGAGTTGAGTCATGCACATTTGAGTATGAAGTCATGCACATTAGGGTTCATGNTAGGATTTAGGCTACTACAGTAGTCGTGGTTGTTATTTCTAGTGTGATAGTAAGCTTCACAATCCGCACACGCGTTTATAGTCCAGTGGCTAAACTATGGGAACCGTACACGCTTTTCGCCAACTAATAATAACACCATTATTTGTGGTGTTACTGGCTTTTTCTCGGCTTATTTCCCTGCGTGGTCGAATCAGAAATGAAGAGATCTGTAGAAAAACCAAAGTGACCTACATAGCTTGCAGAATTTCTAAAATCAGGTGGCAGTGGGCGAGGCACATGGCTCGTAGAGCTGATGGCCGTTGGGCGTCATCTAAAGTTCTCGAGTTTCCACTCTCGGGTTCTCGGAAAGTACAGCGGGCAGCGCAGGACCGGTCGCTATAGAAATCTTTGGCGGAGGCGTTTGTCCAGCAGTGGACTTAATTTGGCTGAAACGAACGAACTGGCTTTTCGTTCCCAGTTGTATTCGTTATGATTAATGTAATATTTTTGTTAGGCATGTGCGGCGACGGCGCCAACGACTGCGGCGCGCTACGGGCGGCGCACACCGGCATCTCGCTGTCGCAGACCGAGAGCAGCGTGGCCGCGCCCTTCACATCGGCTCATCCCGACATCGTCTGTGTCTCCAGGGTACTTAGGTAAGAATGGCTGTAGCCAGGGGACTAAGTGGTGTAGCCAGGGGACTAAGTGGTGTAGCCTGGGGACGCAATGGCAGGGTGTAGCCACGGGATCAAGGTACTACTGGCGTACTAGTGTAGCCAAGGGATTAGGACATGATTGGCGTGGTATAGCCAAAAGACTCAGGTATGATAACTGGAGAGCAGCGTGGCCGCGCCCTTCACCTCAGCTCACCCCGACATCGTCTGCGTCTCTAGGGTGCTCAGGTAAGTGGCTGTAGCCAAGGGATGCAGTTGGCCAAGAAATGCATGTTGTAGTCAGGGGACGCAGTAGTGTTAAACAGGGTACTCATCTAGCCGTGTAGCATGTAATGTATCAGATACTGTATCAAGTGAGTAAGGCACGAGCCCGCTGCGAGCTGCTCGCGCGTGGTTCGCAGGGAGATCGCAGCGACCCGCCGAGTGGCGGTATCACTGCGAGCACAAAGGCGGCTCGCAGTAGGATTCAGGAGCTCGCAGCCAGATACACGATGACCGTGGACGAGCCGTACTCACTTGAAGGTCGGTTACGTTACATGCTACGTTACGTGCTACATGGCAGGTGAGTACCCTGCCTTACGCCACACTACTAAAGTCTTTCCAATATAGCTTGATTAGAATGACAGCTGTCAAACGAATGTGACTAGTGCTGGGTATGTTTCGTACGGTTCACATAGATGTATCGATAAGTTTTCGAAAAAATGATATAAAAAAATGCACCCAATTTTTCTTCATATCTTTATTCATAAAAATGTCAATTATAATTTAAATTTAAAGACAGTAAAATTTAAAATTCATGTCAAGGGTGTACAACCTAAGTCGTAGTCATTATCATCAGTGTTCTTCAGTGGTTTTTTCCTCTCGCTAGAGGGCGGTAGGCATCTCTTCTAGAGCAACGGTGCTATGAATACCCAAAAAATTACCGGTGATTGATTTCCGATGTTTGATTATTTAAGAATGAAATGTTTTTTGGTTTTTTAGAAAAACTTATAACTTGACTTAAATATGTTAAAAAATTAGTTAGAAAAAAAATTTGTTAAATAATATGTTAAAAAATTAGTTTTAATTTAATATGACATTTGTCGATATGTCCCATCACTAACATTTTTGTAACTCGAGATAGCCTTGTAGAGACGTCGTTAATACTCTAGCTTGATTTTTATAATTTCGAATTACTACTTATTGGTGTAATTTAACGCTGCATTTACACGAAATTATAGTTTTAATTTAATATGACATTTGTCGATATGTCCCAACACTAACATTTTTGTAACTCGAGATAACCTTGTAGAGACGTCGTTAATACTCTAGCTTGATTTTTATAATTTCGAATTACTACTTATTGGTGTAATTTAACGCTGCATTTACACGAAATTAACATTTTTATTGGAAGCACTGTCGTCGAAAATATTGTTTGTAGGTCAGACGTGAATTATTTCTTGTCCGCCAATATTTAGCTCTCATTGATCGCTACTACAAAGTTATGTCGTTACTTTTGATGGCAGCTGTCATTCTAATCAAGCTATATTGGATAGACTATAGCACCACAACTTGAGAGCAGCGTCGCCGCGCCCTTCAGCTCGGCGCATCCCGACATCGTCTGTGTCTCCAGGGTGCTCAGGTATGAATGGCCAGGGGACAGTGGTGTAGTCCTAGGTGTACGAGTCAACTCGCACATTTTTATTAGTAATTAATTTATTGTTAACTTGCATTTTATTCATGCACTTTGGCCAGCTACGCCTGACCTACATTTGGGACTTTGTTAGTTCTAACATTTTTATTATCAGTGCAATAAAGCATTCGGCAGCTAATACACGTCTTTCAATAAATCCCATCAGCGGTTGATATGGCGTAGTTGTCTGACATCTTGACATCAGTCTTACTTTGACACCACATCTTACACTAGGGGACTCGAGTATGACAGGTGGAGAATAGCTTGGCCCTGAAATATAAATGGTCACACTCAGATAAAAGTTATTTATAGCCTGACCAGGAACATAAAAACCCTCGCCATGTTGCGGAAAACTAATGGTACTAATTTCTTTTAATGGCAACAGTAACTGATAACTTCATTGTCATGTCACCTTGCATGTCAGTCTATTGCTGTCAAAGTGTAAACAAACTTTATTTTAAACTAGCTTTCCGCCCGCGGCTTCGCCCGCGTGGAATTTTGTCTGTCACAGAAAAACTTTATCGCGCGCGTCCCTGTTTCAAAAACCGGGATAAAAACTATCCTATGTTCTTTCCCGGGACTCAAACTATCTCTATGCCAAATTTCATCAAAATCGGTTGCGAGGTTTAAGCGGGAAAGCGTAACAGACAGACAGACAGACAGACAGACAGACAGACAGAGTTACTTTCGCATTTATAATATTAGTTGGGATGTGCGCAATTGATTTTGTGAATTAAATTGCTAAAATCTTTTTATAGTCGTGAAAGAAAAATGGTTTACAATGTGTTAAAGTATTTGTCGAAGAGAAATACTAAGGGTTCGGACAATATTTTCATTGAATAATGTTTCCGACAAAGGTTGTCAAATTGACTGACATGTTTATCGCATAGTACAGTCCACTATGAAAATTAGTTGTGGTTTGTTTCAACTACCTATTTTAAAAAAATTTGTCACTTTCTAAGTGTTGAATTTTATGGAATTGGGAAAGAAGTACCGAGTTTGAAGCGTTCATGAGCAAACATTGCAGTTGAATATTCAAGTTCTGAATTTGATTATTGATGAATAATAAAATAAATCCTACTAGCTCGATTGATGTTTTCATTTAATTTATTTAAACAAGGTTACCTATAATAATATTTTTTCGTTAATTCATGAAAATATCAAATTAGCCCGTAATCCTGAATCCTGATACATAAAGTTAGCCTATTAATTTAACACAGGTACGACTATACTCAGTGTTGCACTATCAAATGCATTTGACGCGCCTCTATGCCAGGGTTTTTATGTTCCTGGTCAGGCTATAAAATTTTCAACCTACAAGTTGAACTATTGTGTCGAAAATGGTAGGCTTTAACTTTTATCTGAGTGTGACCATTTCGCGAATGGGTGTCTGCGTCAAACCCTTAACGAACTAGTGTACTTTCAAATTCGCAGTCCGTTGCTCACTCATAAACGATTGGGCTTATTTATGTCTTAATCAATTAATTATAGCTCAATCTATTTCAAACTAATACATTGTCTCTGACTCTAAAACATAATTTTGTTTTCCAGGGAGGGCCGCGCCGCTCTCACCACATCGTTCGGCGTGTTCAAGTTCATGATCGCGTACTCACTCACCGAGTTTCTCTCTGTGGCGTTCTTGTACTATTTCGACGCGAATCTCACAGACTTCCAGTTCCTATACATAGATGTCGCCTTGATCGTCAACTTCGCGTTTTTCTTCGGCATGACGGAGGCTTATACGGGAAAACTATGTAAGATACCACCTTTAACATCTTTGCTAGGGTTAGTCCCTCTATTTTCTCTTATAGGACAACTCGGGCTCATATTTATAACGCAGTATTTAAGCTACTACGCGTTGACGACTTTCCCCTGGTACGAAAGACACACTTATGCAGGAGAAGAAGCGAACGAATGTTGGGAGAACTACGCCATTTTTACTGTGTCTATGTTCCAGTACATAACTCAGGCTATAGTTTTCAGTCACGGGTCTCCGTATAGAAAATCTGTCATTACAAACAAACAGCTTATGATAAGCGCTGTCATCATGACAGCTATCAGTGCATACATAACGATCTCCCCTGCGCAATGGTTGGCCACGTTCTTGGAACTGCGAATGCCGAAAGATTCTTTGCTATCCTACATGATTATTATACTAGCAATAATTAATTTCATAGTAGCTTTATTCTTTGAGAGGGTTATAATACAGTTCCTGATGGAAAGTAAGCAGTTTATACCTAAGTTTTTGAAAGAGAAAAAAGTGATGAAAACTCCTCACCTAATGATCAAAAGGCAACTGACAGATATGGACTACCTAGATTATGATAGCTCAGTCAGTTTTGATAAGGAAGTTATTATTACTTCTGATTCTAGTTCGGGGAAAGAAAGCTGATCTATTTAAACTTGTTTGAAGACGTGAACAAACCATTTATCAATAGTTGATGTATATTGTATTACTTTTCAACCATATCAATGACGGGTCAATGAATTTATACTATTCAGTATTTTAATTACGACCTTATTATGACAATTTTAGAAAGTTATATTTTTACACGAAAGTATAATATACTAGGCAAATTATTTATTTACTGTCGATTTTTTTACAGTATTCTACAATTTTAAATGAAATATTTTCGCTGTATTTTGTTATATTAGATTTACTGGTAAATCTAAAAAGCTTTTATTATATTTTTGAATCGCAATTTTATAACGTTTCTTAAATCGAATATCTAATGCAGTCTATATTTTAGCAGTGCATTACGTTTTAGGTCAATTATACCATGTTTTTTCTATAATTATACTTAATCTTTTTTAAATCCATTACTTATGTTTTTTTCATGACTTCTAAAAGGAGTTAATATTACACATGTATTATTATTAAGTATGAAAGAATAGTTCAAATTATGAGTCATATTATGACATAGAGCCGATCTTAACTTATGAAACGTAATTTAGGTGATCAACAAAATGTTTTTATTTACATTAGAATTTAATTAAATGTATTATTACCGTACGTGGTTACCTCATAACACCGTATTGTTTGATTAATATATTTATAATAATTAGTTAATATCAGAATTAGGCGAATAATACATAGTAATGATCAATTTTGGACTTATTAATGCAATTCAAGGTTATAACTTTTAAAGAAACTTACTTTTTTTTTCAATTAATTATATTAATAACTAACTGCTAAGTGGTTAATATGCTTATTTTTTACCTATCTACTTTCTATCATCTACTCAATTTTATAATATACCTACTTATTTAATTCAATTTTTATTTTATGTTAATATTTTTACTAATGTACTAAGCACAAATGTGATACATACTAAACGTACATTGTAAGTGCCTTATTAGTTTTAAGTTGAAACATTCCAATTATTTTGGTGCTGTCAACCAAAAATGTAAGCCATTAATTTATACATATAAGTGCCTTATAAGGGAGAGTCCGCTAATTTGGACCAGTTTTTTACAATCCCATTTTACACATAGTTTTCTTTTGTTTTTGCTAATGTCCATGGTATATAATAAAAGATACATTATTCAACTTACTATTTCATAAGTATTAATTAACATGATTGTTGTATATTTAGCACAAATCAACAAAGTACGAGTTCAGAGCTTCGGTCCAATTTAGCCAACCGGTTGGATAATTTGTACCACAGGGTTACTAAATTGAATTTCAATAAATTTCAAGCCTATAAAAAAACTATGGCAAAATATTATACGATACATTCTTAACAAATTAGGAAACGAAAAGGAACAGTAGTTAATAACATAGACAATCGATATTGTTTTACACGTTATCACGATTTTGAGTACAAGTTTTGTAATTCCAATTATCGTAACGCACACTTGTACCTAATCTACTTTGCCAGTCTTTTGCTTTCATTTATTGTTAGTCAAACATAACTACGCTATTATAACTTCAAAATATGATTTACTAAAAAAAAATTCAAAATCCTTTGGTAAAGTTCCATACAACTTGGTGTGGTACAATTTAGCCGACTAGGTGATAGTGCCTTTACAAAATTGGTAAAAAATATAGCTTATAAGTACCGAAAAATGTTTCAAATAATTGTAATCCACACTAATTTACGCTTCTAAATAATATATTAGAAACACCCTGTGATTAAATTTAACAAAATTACAAACTAAACATGAATTGTCAAAAGTTACTTGAAAACAATGAAAAAATACTTTTCAAAATAAAACACACGTTATTGTTGTCACGGCAAAAACCACATGGCCGATATTAATTGATTTTAGTTGTGTATCGCTGAGTGTTGCAATTACAGACATTCAATAAATACTTTACGAAATATGAGGGTGGTACAATTTACCCGGCGCCGGTACAATACTGAACTCTCCCCTATGTTAGTTTTACTAAACTTTGTATTTATATTAAGCATTAAATTATATGTGTCAGCTTTAGGAACCACTAAAATAATATAATTTGTTTCTATAAATTCGCACAACTAGTAACAATCTAATTTATATTATGTATCATTCAAAGATTCGACTGTGATCGCTTCTCTACTTCGCTCCTATGTGAACAAAACTTGGCGAATAATTAATTCGCTTTCGAGATTTGTTTTGCTGAGATTGCAGCTTTGTTTGCAAGATTGTCGGTCTCTGATATCGACTATTCTGGTACAGTCAGTGTCAAATACTTCATGACACCCACAATAGCCAAAAAGTTCGCAACAAGTCTTAGTTACAATACTAGGGATGATGACTGGGTAATGAAATCGAAATTTTGTTTAGTCCGTCAGACAGATAATAAAAAAATTTTGGACACATTTTTTTTTTCATAATCGAATAATTACAGTATTAAATTGAGTTGAAATGTCGCGTGACGTCACTTTTGAGTAAAATATGTCAAGCGTGACGTAATGCGCTATTTCAAATCGATGTAGCACTGTTATTATTCAATTATGAAAGAAAATAAAAATATGAGTCTAATATTTTCTAATAANCTTCAGGAATCCCCAAGGTCATATATACCTCCTTGTATTTGGGGGGTAAATGCCTATGACCATCACCTTCCTTCACCGACATACTCAAGCATTGCCAGGTATCGACCTGGTACCAAGGGTTCTGGGAGCAAAGGACTTTCTGAATCATCGCCGCGTCGGTGATAAAGGTATGCAAAAGAAGACCGGCTCTGATCTTCCTCTTCAAGTCGGAAAGTTTCACGACTACTAAAGTGGTATCAGGGATGGGAGATGGTATGGATTTCAGAGCGTTTTCTAGCCAGTCGCGAGTGTAATCATTCTCGCACCACATCGCCAGGGCCCCTTGGTAGAGATAAGGGCGCCCGCGGAAAGATGGAGCTAGAACGGTCTGAGACGGAGACAGGACTACTTCCACGATGCTATCTACGATGGCATCCTGAAGTTGTCTTGCCTGGCTCGAAGAAAGGGATCCTTGCGGGACAGTAGTGACTGCTATTTGCAGTTCCAATTGACTCTGATCTATCACCGTCCGTGTAGGATTCGCGGTGGTTTTCGTGCGTTTGGCTTCCTCGGGAGACTTGGTTTCAAGTCGAGGGCGCTTTTTGGAAGGCACAATCCCAGGTTGCTTTTCAGGGGTCGCCGAAGCCGTCCGCCGACCGCGTTTCCCTCTCGGAGTTTGTCTCTTTGACTGGCTAGATAACGTCGGTGGTGGTGGTAATTTGGAGGTGGAAGGCATATGGTCTGTTGGTGGAGGTATCATGACACTTTGTGCCTTAGTCGACACCTTAGAAATGGGCATAGGTGGTGGTAATTTGGAGGTGGAAGGCATACACTCTGGTGGTGGTGGTATCATGACTCTTTGTGCCTCAGTCGACACATTAGAGATAGGCGTAGTTGGTGCTAACTTGGAGCTGAAAGGGATATGCTCTGGTGGTGGTGGAATCATGACACTTTGTGCCTCAGTCGACACATTAGAGATGGGCTTGGGTCGTGGTGGTGATGGTGGTAACTTGGAAGTCGAAGGCATATGCTCTGGTGATGCTGGTGGTAATTTTGTGGTGGACAGGATATGCTCTGGTGATGGTGGTATCATGACACTTTGTGCCTCAGTATACACTTTAGAGATGGGGGTCGGGGGTGGTACTTTGGAGCTGGATGGGATATTATCTGGTGATCGTGGTGGTTTAACGAAACTTTGTGTCTGAGTCACCTTAGAAATGGATGGCATATATGGTGAAGGAATCATGACACTTTGTACCATAGTAGCAACCTTGGAAATGGGGGGAATATGTGGTGGTGGTATCATGACACTTTGTGCCTTCAACACCTTAGAGGTGGAAGGCAATTCGCGCTGCGTTTCCGCTGCGATTGCGATTTGCTTCTCTAATCTGCGGGCCTTCCGTCTCGCGCGGCTGTTGCGACTGCGTTCCGGTCGGCCCTTTTGCTTTGTACCCTTTTTAGGGCGTTTTTGTAGTACAACGGTCCACGGTTGCAGTGGTATTACGGTGTCACTTGGTGAAGCGGTCGGTAAGTCACTCGGTGAAGCGATCCGGTAGATCACTCGGTGAAGCGGTCGGTAAGTCATTCGATGAAGCGGTCGGTAGGTCACTCGGTGAAGTGGTCGGTAGGTCACTCGGTAAAGTGGTCGGAAGATCACTCGGTGAAGCGGTCGGTATTTGTACGAGTTTGGCAAGGTCCTTTGAAGCTGACTTTTGGCATCCTTTGTCTCCAGAATACGCGGGAAAGAGCGGTCTAGATTCTTCGCCGTGGGTGCCTTCCTGGGGTAAATCCTTAAATTCTGTCATCATATTAGTAGGAGGAAGATGATGATGATGATGAATCCCGTATACCTGAGGGCCCGCAGTCCGCTGCTGCCACGAAGGCATTTCTGGAGGTGGAGGCTGTTGTTCGTTTGGCCTCCCTCCTCTGTCGGGAACCTAAAACAATAGATTTGTCAATCAAACAATAAATTACGAAGTTATGCTGACTTGAAAGTTCCGCGTGACGTCACACCGTGCTACACTTTTAATCAGGCCTTGACGTCACGGGTTGGCCGCTTTAACTCTGTCAATTTTCATTAGTTTGAAAAGGTGAAAAATACGAGTATTTTTTGATAAGTTAACTGACAGACTAATTCAAACTCTTGCTTTTTTACCCAGGAAACATTCCTATAATCTCACTCTAGTGTCAACCTAAAATGCAGTGCCCGACAGTAGGTAGGGTCCATAATTGTATCTTTTGTAAACATTATGGAAGCAATAAACTATTTAGTATTAGTATGGAGTACATACTCGTATGTAGGTATTACCTTATGAAAATAAAATAAGAAATTGACAATTGAGTCGTTGGTAAATCTTACCTGTCCTATGACAACTTTATTGACATCACTTCTTGTGTTCTTCCGGACAGATACGCTGGAGGTTTTCTCAACTTGAAGCAGCGATGTCCGAGCCGCTAGGAAGTCGGACAGCCGGACGTCCGGCTTGACTTTGAGCTGCTCGCGTTTCGGACGGTACGTGGATTGGATGACGTCCTTCTTGGTTTTGAGGCGATCGGACCACTAGAAAATAAATGTTCATTATAATCCACCATTTTTTTAAGAGTGAAATAAATAACTTTATTTTACCACTTACTAATGGGCCTCATAAGAAGGCTCACCAAAACGGCGATGAAGCGATGGCAATTTTTTAATGTTGAAGCTAATTAATTTTCCTAAACAATATTGTAAATGGAATGGATAAATTAAATGAAATGGAGCGTGCTATGCTCGGAGTTTCCCTGCGTGATCGAATCAGAAATAAGAAGATCCGGAGGAGAACCAAAGGTACAAATACCGACATAGCCCACAGAATTGGTAAAATCAAGTGGCAGTGAGCGGGTCACATAACTCGCAGACCTGATGGCCGTTGGGGCAGGAAAGTTCTCGAGTGGCGACCACGAGCTGGAAGACGTACCAGGCCTGTTCATCTCCGCGAGTTTACATCGAAAACAAAACACGCACAATGGCCCACCTACAGGATACTATTCGACAAGGCCTCACATACGAGCGAACATTGACTCACGCACGCGTATTCTTGTGTATGATGGAAGAAAAAAAAAAAAAAATACTGTGCAGTATTTAACTGCCTAAATAATAATAATAAAATCACAGAATGTACTTTTTTAAGTTGCCTCAAGACACTGAGAGGTAANAACTAGTGTAATCTATATGACGGACAAATAATTGAAATTTTGTCATCTAGCCTATTGGAATAAGGTTATATTGTCACCTTTTTGGACACTGAGTGTCACGAACTACCGTAAACCTGTATTTTTAGATATCGATGTTTTATTTCCTAATGGAATTGAGAATCTTTTCCATTGCAAATTAGGATCTAAAAAACTGTTATGTTACTTGTTTAAAAGTTAATTTGACATTCCAAATGATTAATAAATAATAAATAGTTATAATTAGAAAAAGAGATGCAATCTCTTTTGTGATAATTTAATTACCTACTTTATGTAAGATATTTGTCGCTGTGTAGTTTATGTTGTGAACATAAAAATATATTGAATGTTCATGAAATTTCCGTTTTTTATTGTCTCTTATCTTTTTTATCCTTGAATTTTTTTGTTCAAGAGTATTTTTACAGAGGGTTTGTCCATATTATCGTAAACTGATACTGGCAGCGACAGGCGTTATTTTTACTATTTTATATCTACCCGCATAGGTATTTCTTATGTTTTTGGGGCTTACTTTCCTGTCTATGAATAGTGTAAGAATGAGAACATAATAAAACAGTTTGATGTTTTTAAAATATTTATTACTTACTAGTTTTAGTTTTAAAATTTCTTTATTGACATAAATACGTAACAAACAAGTGAATAACAAAGATACTGTACATTGCTACAACTATAACATTCGCTAAACGTTAATCTTACCAGGCTACTAGCGCCTCCAAAGATTTTACACACCAATGTTCAAACTGATAAAACGTATTGTAAGTGCTAAATTAATCAATAAACTAGGTGCAACATTTTTGTGATAAACATTGCTTATTGCTATCTATTTTATTAAGTAAGGCGGTAGATGTGCGCCAAAAAAAAACTTATTAGCTACAAAAAACGATTGACCAAACCGGAGCTAGCAACCAGTGGCGCGGGCCGCGATAGGAGCTACCCTGCCTCCCACCGTCATACGTTAGTAAGGTGTGCGAGGGGGCACCGCTCCGAGACGCGGGGCTCGTGAGACTGGTCAGGCGGGAACAAAACGTAGTGATGCGGTAAACGGTAAGTTCCGTATTTGTCGATGTAACGCAAGTCAGTTAATGTGGTTTTGCAAATATTGGCTATTAACTCATTAGTGTTGTATTTATTCATTGCATAAAATTTTAAAGTTAATTTATAAATAAAATCTTTTAAAAATGGAAATTGTATGTCTACATGTAGTGTTTTTAAATTCGTTTTAAATGGAGTATTAAAGGCAATTTTCAATGCCCTGTTTTGGATAGTTTGAAGTAGGTCATAGTTTGTCAGACATGTACTACTCCATACAGGGCATGCGTAAGTTAAGCATGGTCTTATAAGTGTTTTATAAATGAGTAATTTAGTACCTGGGCTTAGTTTAGATTTGCGATTCATTATAGGCCCAAGTGACCCTAACGCTTTAGCACCTTTTATCCTGACGTTGGTAACGTGCTTTGTCCAATTCAACTTCTGGTCTAAGACAACCCCGAGGTATCGCACTGAATTACTCCAGGGAATTATATAGCCGTCTATTTTTAAGTTCTTTGTAGGTGGTTGTCTTTTTCGAGTGAATAAAATCGCTTCAGTTTTTGAGCTGTTTAATTTAAGCTTCCAGTCTGTGAAGTACGTGTGCAGTGCATCAAGGGACAATTGGAGCCGGTCTATTACTAAACTAATGTCTTCCGAGGATGTAAACGAGGCTGTGTCGTCTGCAAAACAAGCTAAGCGAGTTCGGGGCTGTATTGGCATATCATTGATGTATAAAATGAATAGATATGGACCAAGAATGGAACCTTGGGGCACACCAGCAGGTATTAAATGCAACGACGACTCAGCCGACCCAATATGTACCTTAAAGTTTCTATTTTGTAGGTACGATCTGATCAATTTGACCAGACACAAAGGGATACCAAAACCAATCAGTTTATGCAAAAGGCCATCGTGCCATACGGTATCGAAGGCCTTTTCTATGTCAAGTAAGAACATTCCAGTAGACTGTTTGATGTTGAGAGAGTGCGCAATATGTTCGGATACGCGAGCTAATTGTTGAACAGTAGAATGAGATGCTCGGAACCCGAACTGCTCATTTAGAATTGACTGATCAGTGCATTTTAAGAGTCGTTTATAGATAACCTTCTCAAACAGCTTACCAGTGGTGGAAAGCAAACTAATTGGTCTGAAATTGGTAGGTATTGTATTGTCTTTGCCAGGTTTTTTTAAGGCTATTACCTTAGCAGTTTTCCAAGCATCAGGAAAATAGCCAAGATAAAAGCAACCATTAAAGATTTTAGTAAGAAGTACTAGAGCTTTCTGAGACAGGTTTTTAAGCATAAGATTGTGTATGTCGTCTTCACCTGGTGACTTGCGATTTTTTAATTTTTTTATGAAAGAACGAAGTTCATGTGGTGTTACTGGGTATTGGAGAACATTGTCTTTGTGACTATCCAGAACATTCATTGAAGCAAGCACCTTATTTTCAATGACTTTGTCACTGCACCAATCCTTAGTAAGGCACATATTTGAGTTAAATGCTAAGGCAAGTTCATTTGCTTGTTCAACAGCCGAAGTGGCAAGAGTACCATTAGGTCTTTTTAACGGAGGAATGATAGAAGAATTGGATTGAAAGGACCTAGTGAGTCGCCAGAGGTCAGAGTTAGCATTGTCGACCTTCGCCAGTTTATCGTTCCAGATCTTGTCTTGATGGTATGTAATGAGGCTTCGTATGCATGCCTGGATTTTGTTAACCAAAGAGCGCAATTGCCTCTTTAAGTCACCACGAGGTAGCTTTTGCTCTCGGTTGCGCAGAGCGTTCTTTTGACGTATAAGCTTTTTAATATAACTCGGCAGCTTACGAGGACTGTCGTGATGCACGCTAGTTGGCACTTGGGTGTCCCTAGCTGTGATAAGGCAGCTGATAAAAGTGGCAACCGAATTATCAATTTCTGTTTTAGATTTTAGAGGCTTTGCACTTAGCACAATGTTATCATCCACTGAACTACGGAACTTTTTCCAGTCAGTTTTGTCATATCGATATGATTTGGATTTATGACTGGAGACTGATGATCCCCACAAGCGGACAAAAATTGGTAAGTGATTAGATGACAGTGCTGTAACCACCTCCAAATCACTCACCAAATCTGCATTTGACGCCAGTATGAGGTCGGGAGTCGTAGCGTTAAAGTCAGACCGGTAATTTAATTGTGTTGGTGAAGGAGGTGCATAGATAAAGTAGCTATTCGAAAGCATATGTCTGAAAAGGCTTCTACCTCGGGTATTACAATAACTACTATTCCAATAATCATGATTTGCATTAAAGTCACCACAAATCACAACATTCGGCCCTAATGAAAGTAGAGTATCTATATCTGAGTGGACAAGATGCAAATTAGGAGACTGGTATACAGAGGCAATTACCAACTCTTTGCCTGATACATTGATCCTAATTGCTATAGCTTCCATGTTTGTCATATTAGGTACGCTGACAACAGAATGGTGAATACGGTTTTTTACCAATATTGCTACACCCTGTCCTCTACCATTTGTGTTTTTATCTTTACGGTAACAAGTAAATCCCGGAGTATTAATTATAACATTTTTGGTAAGTTTGGTTTCACATAACGCTATTACATCGACAAATAAGTCACTCACCGCTAGGTCAAGTAGTTCATGCACTTTGTTTCTTACACCATCAGCGTTCCATGATATTATACCTAGTTTCGCACGACTAAACATAATGACCGAGATGCTCAAGAACTAACATGATTTTGTCGAACATTGATGTGCAAGATTGGAATTTAGTCCTGATATTCTTAATAGTTTCCATTATGTCGAGTATTTCCCTGGTGACGGGGTCCGTGGTCAGGTTGCTGTTGTTGCCTAATTCTTCAGCGGGTTTCTTACTTGAAGACGCTTGCTTAGGTGTTTCAGATAATACTGAGGCCCATGTTTTGAGTGTAGGTCCAGAAACGCCTATAGGTTGACGAGAAGCTGAAGTTCTATTCAGGGTTTTACTTAACAATCTGGATGTCGCCGTTTGTTCTTTTCGCTCACTAGCCCTTTTGTGTAGGCTTTCAACATATGAAACGCGCGTTTTGCATTCACGGTAGTTAGCTGGATGATCCTGGCCGCAATTGCAACATCGCGCAGGCTCTTTGCGATCTTTTTTTGGGCAATCGGTAGTCGAGTGATCCTCAATGCATTTGACACAGCGTGGAGGCATGTTACAGTTTTTCGATGAGTGTCCAAAGTTCTGGCATCTATAACACTGAGTTCCCGCTGAGCGATTCGGCTTAAACTTTTCGAATCCATACAGTAAACCTTGTAATATGAGTTTAAGATATCATCCATACAGTAAATAATGCTTCTATTTTTCCTACAAAAAGTTGACAGCAATTTCTCATGCAAAATTGCAAATATTTCAATCTGCACAATATACTAATGTGAATGTACCTTTAGATTTTACAACATCAATATTGAACGATGATGATGATGCACATACCTGGTACTTTAACTTTTACAGTGTCCTTTCGTTTAGCTGAATGATAATGATAAGTCATTATAAATTCGATAATATTTATTAACCCTTTAACCGTGACAGAGAATTTACTTTCATCTTCAAAATCATCAGTGTTTTACTACTAAGGTTTTACATTAAATATTTTAAAAATTGTGTAATCAGCAGATTGTATAAGATTCCCATAGAAGAATTACAATATTACAGCTCATAAAAGTATATCAATTGATTGGTGCTGTCAAATTATTTAAATTACATTTATTTAATGTAACCAATGATCCAGTGAAAGGGTAATTAGAATTACAAAAACTTCAATAGGCTGAACATGATAAAATCATTTTAATATGAATGAATTTTGTATCGATTAATAATTAATACTACATACCGTCTTTCTGAATGGTGTCCTTTAGTTTGGCTTCTAACTTAGCGAATAGCACTTCGGGGGTGATGTTCGGTGGAGGCTTGTTAAACTTCAATGCTATAAGAATGTCTTTCAGGTTCTTCGCAGTTGGTGACTCTTGCTGGAATAAATATATGTATTGACATTATGGTTATGAAGAGTATGTATGGGAAACCTATTTCATCATCATCATCTCAGCCATAGGACATCCACTGCTGAATATAGGCCTCCCCCAATGCTTTCAATGCTGCCTGGTTGGTAGAGACTAGCGGCCTGCGTCCAGCGCCTTCCTGCTACTTTTAAGGTCCACCTTGTGTTTTTTAGCTTTCATCTGTGCTAAATCTTGGTCGAAAATGTAAAATTTTATCGCTTAGATGTGAATTCTGCTGTGTTTTTAGTATCTTCCCCAATTTTTTTATTATGGTGCAGCGTAACTTGCCCTTCTTCTAAATTGCTTCATATAGAATTTAATTGTTGTGAGAATTAGAAATAGTGTTCAAATAACAGCAGTTTTTTCATGCTTTTGAGCATAAACAACAATTTTTTTCACATTTAAAATACAGTATGAAAGTAGACCAGATCTTTGTAACATACCACAATAATGTCCATGCCAGACGTAGACTTCTCCTTGGGGCAGTCAACGCGCTGCATTCTCGCTGCCATCAGCTCCGACACCAGATAGTCTAGCAGCAGAAGTCGGTCCTCCTTGCTTTGAAGTCGGGCTGACATGTGTCCTGTGGAAATTAAGGCATAAGTCTTATCCATGTTATTATGTCGTGTATAAATAAGCAGCATTTTTAAGCATTTATTCATAATTTTCAATAATTATTCAATATGTTCAAGTTATGAATCTTATTTCATATCAATAAAGTCCAGAATATTGAGGCAATTTAGGCACCACCATGTAAGGGGTTAAATAAGGTCAAAATCAATTACCTACCTATAATTATAAACTTTCATTACCCACTCAAATTATTCAGACTATACTTTTTCTTGGTAGTCTTATCACTAATCTAAGATAGATCTCCTACTTTATTTATATCTTTCTTTGTTAATCATTACATAAATACGTACCTACAACCAGCTTTTTGTAAGGACAACCCAACTCCTTCAAAAATGAGCTCAATTCTAGCAAAAACGAACTAGATTCGTCTACGCTGGTCATCATGTTGACAGTCTCTTCGAGTTGTAACAGCTTCTTTAGTTCTTCGGCTAGTATGTGGACCAGTTTGGTGAACTCTAACGATTTGGGCCCACCGTCAAGAGCTTTCGAAAATGCCACCTCATCGGAGAGGGGACCATCGTAGCTGTGAAAAAACATTATTTGTGGTTTACAAATTAAATAGTTACTGCATTGTAAGTTCAGAAAACTATCAAATTGTATAACTTTCCTTCATTTATGACTTTTACTTTCGTTTTTAAAATGTAAATAGACATAATAGTGGTTAGAAATGATTCCAGATGGTCACTAGAAATGGAAATAACAAACATACATACCAGCACCGTATTTAAATGTATAAATTAATTTATTGAGTTTTGCATAATTCTATCAAAAAATTGTAGAAAAAATGCTTACCTTACAAAAAATTTAGATCTAAAACATAACCTATATTTCAAAATCGAAGCATATTTCTAAAGGATTTCGCCAAGTCAGCAGGTTGAATATATTTTTAAACACGACTAGTAGTTTTATTCTATGTTTTTAAAGATAAATATGTAATAAAATCAATAACAGAGTAATAAAAAATAATATTGTGAAACTTACCCCAAGTCGGTAAGTGAATCTAATATATCGTTCTCCATTTTACTGTTAAAAACACCTTTGCAGTGTTGATTTTGTTGTAATTTAACCAATTAAATTCAAACCGGTAGTAAATTATTATCTTAGTTTTCTTCACGAAAATCGGCAAAAATATTTCGATGGATTTCCCGAATCCACGATTTTTTGCCTGACTGTCAAAAGCGGTGTTGCCAGTGTGTAAGACAACATTTGGCCACAAAATTGATTTCTGTTATTAAACTTGCGGAAACTACAAAACACTTTTTATTTTGACATGACATTTTATCGTTTTATTCAGATCAAAATAATTAAATACGTATAAGTAATAAAGTGCAGTTAATACAATTGTAGTGAAAAAAAAGTGTACTGATTGAGTTTCATTACTTTTTTTTTAAACTCCCAAAATCATGGGAGTTGGTAATTATTAATGGTATCATTATTGCAAACCAGTGGCGCTATCTGGTCAAATCTGGTGAGCGTTGAAGCGGTAGAAGTATGGCTCGGTGGTTAAATCAGTCGCCCTACAATACAAGCGAAAGGTCATGGGTTCTCACGGAAATTGAGCACAAAACACAAACATATTTATTTCGTGATCTGAGGGCATGAGGCTGAGTCCCGAGGTGTTTTAATTAAGCCAAAGAATTTCCTATAATGTCAGCCTGAAGAACTACAGAAGAAAAATTACAGAACAATATTATTTTTAGAATATTGTATTTATTGTTCTCTATTACTTTTTTTTTATTATTTAATGGAAACATATTATTATTTCTTTTTGCGATTTTATGATTCCAAAATTAATCTCAAACCCATCAAACAACATGTAACTTAATTAATTAATGCAGTAAAAACTTTATTTCTTTCTGCAAGTCTTCTAACTACGTAGTATTTTCAAGTCATACATACTCACTCTGTCTCATCACAACATTATCGCATGCATACTTAGGTCCGATATCAGATAGATACGCCTCTGTGTGAGTTCCTTTGTGCATGTTTGCGTGCTACCTGCGCGAGCGCCTCTTGTCACAGGTGTGTGTGTGTGTTATGCCGGCGCACCACTAGCCTTTTTGTGTAGGCTTTCAACATATGAAACGCGCGTTTTGCATTCACGGTAGTTAGCTGGATGATCCTGGCCGCAATTGCAACATCGCGCAGGCTCTTTGCGATCTTTTTTTGGGCAATCGGTAGTCGAGTGATCCTCAATGCATTTGACACAGCGTGGAGGCATGTTACAGTTTTTCGATGAGTGTCCAAAGTTCTGGCATCTATAACACTGAGTTCCCGCTGAGCGATTCGGCTTAAACTTTTCGACGGTGATGACACAGTTGCAGAGGTATTTAAGTTGTTTAAATTTAGCCATGTCGGTTCCAGGGGCTAGTTGTATTAAGAAGGGTGGAAACAGTGCGCTTTGCAGTCCTGGAGATTTTAAAATAGTGACGGAGTTGACATTAAATCCCTTAGTCTTCAGTTCCTGTGAGATGTCATCGGAAAGGCTAGCTGGAAGCCCTCGTATGACCACCTTAGGTACTTTTTCATCATTTCTGGAGTAAGTAAGGAACGCTATGTTCTCCTCTCGAAGTCCGTCTTTGATGGCCTGGTGAGCTGTTGGTGTGTAACATATAACGGCCACTTTGTTTCTTCCTCTGTAATGCAAGTGAAAGCGGTTGGCAAATTTCTTTACCATGTCCTGTAGGTTGGCATGTGTCCAATTTTCATGAAGTTCTAATATAATGGGGGGGATACGTGCAGCCCGCTTTCCTCCCGGTGCAGTGATACTGGCAGCTTCAGATGGTTCACTATCGTGCTCTAGCGTAAGGTCTTGAAATCTGTTGAAAGTGGGTACTTCGCGTGGCCTGCCATTCTGGTCTGAGTTTTGTATGATTGCAGTACGCTTGGCGGTTCGCCATTCCTGATCATCTGTAGGCCTTTTGGAGTTGAGGCTGCTGCTTGACGAGGATCTTGTGAGATATTTGTCCATCGTGTTGTGTGTGTACGATAAAAGGATAATTTATCGATACACGAATTGTCGAGTGCGGTACATCACTATTTGTTAGTAAGATTCTGAGTAAAACTGTATAAATAACTCATTTTCGGTATTTTGTCCTTTACGACCTTTGAGCCCAGAGGTATCGATATTATTATGCTCTCTGTGGGCAATTAAAGTAAATATTATAAGTAATAGGTATTATCTAAGGAAAGTTATTGTGTAAAGACTGCTGTACCCAACAGTGTGTGCATAGTACCTAAGTTACGTGGATTAGTTTTTAAGTTTCCTAATGTAAATTCAGGATCTTCTTCCTTTTCTTAACAAAATTTGCACATGATAATAACACTTATTTAAAAGTTGTATAAATAATAATAATTGTTTCGAAAATTAATAGTAATGATTTTAGAATATATCTTTATTAAGACGGGAATACCAGGCCGAATGTAATGATTTTATTATCTTTATGAGACGTGAATGCCAGGAGGCATCACGGTGACGGATGGCCGAATGTAATGATTTTAGAATTAATATTGTATTTTATACGATTATTAGTTGCTTATAAATAGTTATTGTAATAATTTTGGTAGAATTTAAAAACCCATTATTAAAATTAAATACTTTACTTGATTACTTCCTGGACATTGTTGCAGATATTAGAATGGTTTTAGAATTTATTCTGTATTATATTCAATTACATATTTCATGTTTATTATTTAATGTAATTATTTTAGAATTTTTATTGTATACAATTTAGTAATTTAGAAATGAATTGTTATTTAAGTATTGATTTTGACTACTTCCGGGGCATGCTGTCGATAAATCGTTTCGAGCCGGTTGACTTTACCGAATGGAAGGGGAAGTTGCCTTATCGCGGGCATGCCGCCGGACAGGGAGTTCGATTGGAGCATTCAAAGCAAGAAGTACTAACTTTAAGGTGTTATAATGTTGGAAATGTATAAATTAGTATCTTGAATAAATAAGTAATTGATCTACAAGTAACTTTTCTTTATACTTCTGTCTGAGGTAATATTTGAATCTCACGAAATAAAAAGGAGGTTAATGNAGTAAGAAGCAAGCGGTGTTCGGTTTAAAGCGCGTGCAGGCGTGCGCGTCCAACTACCGCCGAACCTAACGACGAGTGCGCGAGTACGTTACTTACTAAAAAGCAATAAATAGAGTGAACGTAGACTCTATGAATAAATTAACAAAATGTTCAACTCACCATCTCCATAATATATACTTTGGCATCACAGTACTACCAGATTTCAAATTATTTGCTTTTCGTTACTTTTACTTACCACTAATAGGCATTACATTTATAATTTGCAGTACTTAAAAAGTATATAATTTATTCAACAAAAATTATATAAACATTGAATATACAATGTTAGTGAATATATTTTATATGACTGACCTCCAAAAAATGAACTGTGATCAACTTACACCCTATTAATGATCTAACAAATTTATAAAATTTAAAACTCTTAACGTACATGTATATGAATATAAAAAAATGCACTTTTTAAAATATAACTCCAATCACACCGAAATTACTTAGGTACATTATTTAATCAAACAGTCATATTTTGTATTGTAACTTATTTGAAACATGGCGTAAAACTTGAAATAATTGCGATACCTAGTAAATATGTAATACGTAATATAGAGCCTTTAAGAAACGATACCCATTGGCGCAGACTGTTAAGATATAGTCTACCTTTTATATAATATAGTATATAACTGGTGTAGATTCTACATAACATCTGTTAAACATCAATAATAATGATGGACAAAAAATGGTCTTCCCTATACCAATCTACAATATTTACCGTAAAATCAAGTCCATATAACAGTTGTGTATTTTTAACTTTTTCATTATTTGTTTTAGCAGTTGACCTGGTTTTTTGTTCACCAGTATATTAAGATCAAATGTGTATCATTTCTTAAAGGGTAAACGTACATAGATTGGTGCAGATAGGATTATTATAGTGTGATGTAATGCGACAAGAACATCAGATTATAAGGTTACAAACCTAGACCCTAACCTAATAGACATTTTCCTGAAACCGCCCATTACAATCCTGAAGTGACAAAGATCCAAATTGCCTATTTAATTTTAAGCCTTTAGCGGGAAAAAGGCCCTTTTTTCATTGTTTTTGGACCATAAAAAAATTAAAAATATGGTGGGAACTATATTCCCTCCCAAATTATTAGGTAATGTTCGGACCGAAAACATACATTCTTCCATTTATTAAGCCTTTGAAGACTACAAAGCACCTCTAATCTTCTATGCTATTAATATGAAAAATAAAAAGGATTTTTGGGTTCATACAAAGTGGCCTAGAAAAACGAATTTCTCATCACAATTTTTACTTGCATTCTTAATATGGATATTATGAACTTTAATATCAAATTAGGTGGGCTATTTTATATAAGATTAAACAAACGAATCGATAGTAGTAACTAAGAGCTATGAAAAGACGTCAGCGTAATAATATTAGTAGAACTATCGTATATCTTTAATTAATTAGTAATTTATGAAAGTTTTTTAAACTTACTTTAGTCACCTATGGTAACAGCATAATATTTCCTACTGTTTAATTTTGTAATTCTTTAAATTGAGGCATTATTTTAATCACAAATCAGATACAGGGTGAAATTAAGATTATTACATAATCAAAAATTTGACATTCAGTTTAGTGAACGATCTCTCAACGAATCTGATTCCTTATTTATTTACTCGAAGTTTATCGCAATCGATGTCAGTTTAAATTTTACATTTCTGTGGTACCTAATAAAATCACTGGTATCTGCCTTAATGAGCCAAGGATGGATATAATACAATATTAAAAGCAATCGAATTTGATCACTGGTTGCTCATACTTCGCTATTCTACGTACATTTCGGTAAATCCAGCCATATTTGTAAAGACCCTACTTTTGTAGTAGACTTTAATGGCACTGGCGACCTACAAAAAGTTCTAAACTTACAACCCGGTCGAATTAACTGCGCACCTGACCTGGCAGCCGTGACGTCACATCGACGCTCTGTTACGGACGGGGCAAACTCGGGTAAGCAGTGTTGCCAGTCGGGTCTTGTCAGAAATTACCAG